CGGATGATGCTGCATCTGCATCACAAAGTGCTGCCGTCATACATGGAAACGTTGATGAAGACTCTTGAACCTCCAAAACAGGTTGGCTTCATTTTTACATTCAGTCTGTGTAGAATCAGGAAGATAGCTCTGGATCCATTGTCCCAATGCCAGAAGGTTTGGTAATACTTCATATACATCAGACAAATATAATACTTGATAGATCCCTTGTTGGCATCTGTCTACTCCTGCAAGGAAGGAACAAGTTGGAAGTTGGGAAAAGTAACATGGTATTGTCCACAACGAATTATTAAAATCTTTAGCAGAACCTCCCTGTGGTTGAAATAAGAGCCACTAAACAAGCTTCGTGGTCAATGAGTGCTGATTGTTTCCTCGTTATAATAAGAATCTCTAGCAAGAAACCCACCAGCCTGATCATGTGAACATAAAGGAAAGAAGAAATCATTCTGCAGGTAAATGTGGGGAAATACGTTGTTTTCACTTGATGGTTGCACAGATATTAAGTTATCAACTTACTTATTTATTATAACTCGACTTTAGTTTTGTTTGTTTTTTGCACATTCACCTGCAGTGACTAACAAAACGTACGTTCAAAGGACTGTGAGCCAGAAATCTGAATTTAAGAAGCAAAAATGAAACCCAACATCCCACAGGTGTGTGCCTCCATCTCAAGGATGATCAGTGAAAACAGGATGCACCTGAGCTCAATTTTGACTGGCAAAGGCTGTGAATACTTATTTTCTTGCTATATTTATGTTATTTATTTTAGATTTGCAAAAAGTATGGAGTGTTGTGAGTAGAACTTTGAGGAAAAAATGAATGTTTTGACTTCATCAATGGGAAGCAACATATGTGGACAACTCAAGGGTTGAAAAACGTTTAATTCAAATTGATCAGCTAAAGTTGATCCAATTCTAAACATCCACACAGGATCTCAGACTGACGGATATATTATCCATCCAGGCATAAACACACTGTGGCCACATGTGAGCGTTTGGATGGCGGGTTCAATGTACTTACCCTTTGTGTGTGTGATGCTGTGTCTGGTGACCACAGAGCAGCGAGCCAGTGAAGGAGCTTTACACTCAGCTGACGGAGAAACTGGAGGGGCAGAAGAAGAGCCCACCACCACCAGATGAAGCTCCATCCTTGGACCTGGGGCTGCACCCGGTGACTGTCCCCACCACTGCCTCCACCCCAACCACGCCTCTCTGAGGACCAGCGGAGTTCTCCATCGGTCACTGACAGTAAATAAAACAACCGTTTGGCTCGTATTGTAAAACGTTTTACATTATTATTATTTGCTCTGTGATTTTTCACGGTTTATGTTCTCTAGGTTTTTGTGTCCGAGAGGCTCTTGCCGCTCTGCCATAATTTTTTCTAAACTTTGTTCCATCGTTTTTCAGAAAATACATGCTCTTCATATGTAGTTTGGCTGTAAGGTGTGAGTTGTGCCGGGGTACAACAAACCATGTAAATAAATGATTATTTAGAAATGCAAAGTGGTGTCTGTTTTTTTTCTTTTGTATCTCAACAACCGCAAAAGTGTTTCGTCAGTTGGTAAGAAACACTTGATCAAAATATCTGGTGTCTATAGACCTCGATGGCAAATGACTTCCCAGCAGCCATACATGTAGGCAGTGTGGAAGAAGACCTGCTTATGGCTGAAATGTGTCGGTCTTTGCTTAAGGGAGCAACCCATCATGCATAGCGTTGTGCCATTAAAATGACAATGCCAGTGAAATTTTGATCATATAAAAGATCAATGCATTACATTGAACAGATTGATAGAATTACTTTCTTTTGAATTGATATTGCTCATATGAAGCAGAATTCTGTATGTGTAGTTAATCTTGTGAGGTAAACCGCTTCACGCATTAATGAAACGCTGATGCAGGTCAAGTATTTTCACATGCTAGTTCCGTGTGTAGGATCTAGCACGTAATGTGTGTAGGAGGTCAGTGCTGAGGACTTTGGGGAAGGAGGGGCAAAATTAGACGATAGTTAGACTGCTGCATGTTTTTCAGCACCTGAAAAAACTAGTGTGTTCTCCATTAGGCAATGCATGACAGCTACTGTAGTGTGAACATGAAAAACGCTAATGTGTTACTGGCTCACCACCAAAACCATGGCTTGCAAGCAATATATACAACAAAACAAACCTGCCTTAAATGCAGAGTGCTCCACCTGCTACTACTGTGGTGCATGGAGTAGAGCGGGTGTACTGGTAGGTTGGCAGTTCAATCTCTGACATCTTCCACGTGCCCCACGTTGAAGTGTCCCTGAGCAAGACCCTCAACCCAACTGCTGCCTGGGCACCCTTGCCGTAGCACACTGCTCCCACTATGTGGGACGGGGTCAAATGCAGAGAATAACTTTCCCCAAGGGGATTAATGGAAGGATACTTTTCTACTCTGGCGTCAGCCGCTCTGGTACCGCTAACCCCGCTAAAGACAATCTCTGCCACTCCTCCACAGATGAGAATTTGAACTTTACCCTTTCATTTACTAAGCAAATATTTAGAAAAAATACCACCTATTTGCCCACCCACTTCAGTCATGGCTTGTCTCCCGGCCCCCCGCCACTCCTCTGTCATCAATTCCTCCCATCTAGTGACTCTGTCCCGTGCTCCTCAAACTAGCCTCGGTCACACCTATCCTCATGCAGCCTGGCCATGACCCTGAAACCACCATCATATGGAGGCCCATCTCCTATCTTCCTTTTCTTTCTGAAATACCGAAGCCCAATATTAACAAACAAAACCCAGCTGTGCTTAAAACCAGCTATATTAACCATTTCCATCTGGATTCAACACAGAACAGAAACGACCTCCACCCCCTCCTGAGCTGACTATTCTATTAACATACCAATACTACCTGATCTCATCGCAGCCATCCAAACCATCCAACCTTCTGTTATCCACTCCTGGTTCAAATCCTACCTCTACAACTGCAATCAGATCATTAGAATCAACCGTTTCAAGTCAAACATAGTCTCTCAATGTGGTATTCAGGCCCCTCCTCTTCTTCCTCTACTTTTTGGGCCTTGGCAACATCATACACAACCATGGTCTCCATTTCAACTGCTATGCTGACAACACCCAGGGGTACATCTCCCCTAAACCCATCATCCGCACAAACCTACTCACTATCACTATTACAAATCTGACATCCAATCCCTGAGCAAGTCCCTATTAGCCACAAAGAAATGCCCTTGTTGAGTGCTTTAATAGGAACCTCAAGTCTATGCCAAGAGAAATGGTGACTGACTCTGGGTCAGACTGCGCGCATTTCCACTTTTTTGTATACGCCTTAGAGGGTTTTACAGTCTAACCACCATCAAATAGAACCACCGTCACAACTGTTGTGGAATATTTCAATAAAACTGTTTGGGAGAAGAGAATGAATTCTTTCAATGTTTATCTAATTAAAAAACAGAGTCTTGATGAATGATCAAAGTTGCAAAAAGTCCATTTATTGCTTGCTAGCAGGAGGCCAAATACACCAGCACGTATCACAGTGCTCTGTGGAGATGGCGTCTCCGAGCAGTAAAAACGCTGAGTTTGTGCACACATAGGAAGGCCATCCTCAGTGGCAGGTACGAGAAGTTGCAAACCAAGTCGAGATAAGAACCAAGGTTAAGATGAGGGTAACACACACTGCTCCTTTGTACGAGCGCCTGTGAGAGCAAGTTAACTCCCTTTTTCAGACACAGCTGCATATGGAAACCTTAAATCTTTTCTGCTTTTGCACATCAGGGTCAAACACAGACACTTGAGACACGGGTTTAGCACAAGACAATGTTATAGAACATATTTTTACCATTACACAACCTCCATCAGATAGAACAACCATCCAGAGAAACCTGTGAGTAGAAAAAGCACAAATACTCCAGGTAAGAAGGGGTTCTGTGACGGCGTTAATGAGACATGTGGGCTGCAGCCGAAACTGAGCACAACGAGCAAGAGCGAGCAGGAGAGGTAGGGAGGGAAAGCATCTCTAGTTGCTAAGTTAAATTACTTTAGCTTATGTTAGCAGAACGGAACAACCTGTAAACAACTTTTGGATTAAGTCAAAAGTTGCCAAATGAGGGAGAGAGCTATAAGTGTGTAAACGTATAGCAGATTATCAGTACGTAGCCAAATGTTATCTTGTGAAATGTCATTTGGTTGTTTGAAGAGATGGTTTCACTGCAACTTAAACTAGTTGTTAGGGAATTAAGTTCAACTTTATCCCAAACTTTAAGCAGCTTACAATACATTGTAGCAGTTGACTATTATCAATTGAAATTCAATCTTTTATTCTCTAAGCATTGGAGTTGTGTGTTTAGACATTATTTAGGCTACAGATGGCTTCAAAAAATGTAAAAAATAAACGCTTCTTGTGACAATAATAATGGTAAAAAATGTGTGAAATCCCTTTTTGCAAACACAAATGAAATCTTTTGTTAACAAATGCTTTTCCGTCCACTAGAGCGTGCTGAGTTAAAAGTCAGCACGATCGGACACAGTAACCTGGTTTGTCTCATTATTGATACATTTTCATAAGTAAGCTACCATTATTAGCAGTAGTTTTATCTTTGTGTCCACTGTTGCTGTTATTATTATTAGTGTACAGATTGTAAGGAACATTTGTAATTTGTGATAATGGGCTATACAAACAGATTGAATTGGATAAAAAGTTGTCATATAGAATCTGTGGTCCGTCATTTACCTGCATCTCCACAGGGTTGTTTCAGATGTCTTATGTTTTCAGGTTGGTTTCTCAAAAGGGTAAATGTATGCTCAAACAAGGTGCAGCGATGTTATCAAACGTTATCTGGGATCCTCAAAGGTTACATTTAACATATTGAAAACTTCTGATTAAAAAAACAGAATGCTCCACGTCGGACGTTCGTTTCATTACATCAACTTAATTATGTAAAATATTAGTTTCCTAGGAACTTTACTTAAAATTAGAAATGACCTGAGTCATCGATGCTTCATTCACTTGTTATCTTTGACACTTTGCTGACGTCACGCCAGGGCGGGGACAGCGAGCGGTGAATGCGCATGTTGTTTGTGCGCTCAGGTGATCTTTAGGGATTTCTGCTGTGATCGTGGAAAACATGGGCAAACTTCAAGAGTTTGAGATCACATTTGACCAAAAAAAAGAGGTTTACACCCCGGGCGAGTCCATCTCTGGAGCCGTGACATTCAAACTGGACGAGGCGCTGCAGTGTAAAGGTGAGAGCGCATGCTGTTACACGCGCACCGCGCACCTGGGGAGAAAAGGTTGTCGAAGCTAAACAAGGAAGTGAGTGTTGAACCTGGATGAGGGCTTTCCTAGGCTTTCCTACAGCTAAAGCTTTCATCTAAGAAAGGCATCGCGTATTCATCATCATTTTAAATGGTCATTTTGGTCTGTAATGTGGGAGAAATGTCTCAGCCCCAAACCACACACTTACTGGGAACGATTTCTAAGCTGTGCATTACATACACACTTGTCAAAAATGAGATCATTTTAGGGGCAATAGTTCGACCATTTTATATTGATCTAAAAAATATTGAATGTTGTCATGCGTAATTCTTTCTTGAGTGTACTGCAGCACTTTAGTGAGTGTTGTTCCTCCGTGAGGCTCACGTGGTCTGTTAGTGAGCTCAGACAATGTTTTTTTCTTAAGGTGATTCCACTCATTTCAAATCTACGGCCCTCCATCCACAGTCAAGCTGTTTGCTATGTTTCCACATGTTACTGTGCGAGTCCATTTGGCCAGATTATGAAGTGATACATGAGACCATTGTCACAGTAATTGGTTGATTCGATGGAAGCATCTCGTCTGTGTTGAGGACTTTCTGTCTGGCTTGGTTACATTCTTCTTCAGGTAGAGCCGGTTCGACTGTCGCGTCACAGATTCAACAAACTCCCTCCCCATGCAAGAGTTTCAATCCATGATGGCAAATATTGACATGTCATTCCAAATCAAAAGTGACAGATGTTTCAGTCATCGTGGGTTACTTGATGTTATTTGTTATTGCACACACACACACACACACAAGAGGTGGGAGGAAGTAATGTCGTCGAGCAGTTGCTGGACCAATGGCACGTAAATGGGAAGGACCCAGCTATAGGGAGTCCTTTACCTTATGTATGTCCATTTCATACGATGTTGATGTCCTCTACGCATAAGTAAAGAGTGTTCAGTGCAAAATAAGAAAATAACACGGTATGCATTTTGGTTTAAAATGAAGTAAAAAGGGTTCAATGACACTGTATGAGAATACAATATACTATATATCATACACTCCCTTTGCTCAAGGACTATTTGCAATGCAAATACACATTTAAGTACTTTTGATGTAGGTTTGATCAATAGGGGATGAATGCAGCAAACTATCAAGGTGTTACAAGTTACACTTTGTATCACGGAGCATCGCATCGGGACACATGTGATGTGTATCTTATTGTGAGGTATACATGTGTGTATATGAACATGTATTGTCGTAGGTCTGTCCATTTATTCCTGGTTTGATTTTACTTCCCATGCTTCCCTAACCATACGTAACCATACACTCCCAAGTTAGATGTAACAGTTTATTTTTGTTACTTCCGTGTTTGCAAATGTGTCACGCCATCATGCACAAAGCAAAAGTAGAATTGATTTTGTGATTGCTGGGAAGAGCTGGAGTTGCCTGCTCAGAGCCCCAATCCATCATCATCAGTAGTAGTCTCTGGATCCAGGGGAACATTCCTTTTAAATTACTATGGAGTGTGGCGTTCATCTTCAATCCATGAAAACAAGAAAAAGGTGTTGCTAACCAGTGTTTCCCCTACCATTACATCAGGAGTGAGCCGCCCCCCCACCCTGAAATTACCCCCCACTGAAAAAGTCTGAAATTAAAAAGAAAAATAGCGCTATGTTTCAGTATGCGTACCAGTGAGCAACTCTCTTCTTCCCCACCTCTTGCTCTGTGCTTTGGTGTAACACACTTTCCAAGAGAGACAATTATTGTTGGCTTTTGAAAAGGGTTTCACACTTAACTTGTGCATTTTTTATTTACAGCCGTCAAAATAAACTGCAACGGTTTCTGTGGTGTCACAAGTAAGGTAAATGACACGGCATGGACCGCGGAGGAACAGTACTTTAACAGCACCGTCTCTGTTGCAGATAAAGGTACGCCCAACAACCAAACTGATCGCGCTATCTATCCAAGAGCTTGATCCATCTGCTATTAATATTTGTTAAGTGCTGTTTGCCACATCAGAACAGTTCACATAGGGGGCCAGTCAGTGTCCAGTCACCGATGACATTATTCAGGCCAACTGAGCCATTTGCCTGTGAGTCTATTTACCACAAGAAAGTTCATAATACACAAAAGAAAAAACACACAAACACATTGAAAAACCTATTTTATGTCAACAAAGCAATAGTTTTCCACAATTTAAAGTTTAAAAAGACAGGCAAGGTTCCCATTAGCCACAGTGTGCGGCGCAGGCAGCCTGGAGGCATGTTGTCATGGTGGGAAACAGCAGGGTGATTGTTACTGCTTCCACTGACAATGTCTCTTTGTCTCTTGCAGGAACCCTGAAACAGGGAAAACATACCTTTCCCTTTAAGTTTCTCATACCAGGTAAGTGAACGAGTGATGGGATGAACACTGGTGTCTGCACATTCTTTCCTATGTTTGTGTGTATTTTGACATGTCCTGGCATGTTGATGTTTACCCTTCTTATGGTTAAATAGCAGAGAGGAAGGGGCTTTAGTCCATCATTTACTGGGGCTTATGAGTGTTCTGTGGAATATTGTACCGATGGTAACCAAACTAACTTATTATGAGACAGTACCTTAAATTTGACAATATTAGACATTTGTGCAGATATCAACTACCACACATTCCAATTGCAATATTTAAGAGCTGGGCCCTGTTCCCTGTACGTGGCTAACTAACATTTTCAGGATAGGATTATATAGGTCAGGGTTGGGGGTTCCACAAATCAAGTTAGCCATAGCAACACCATAGCAACACATCCAAAAAGCTGAACCTGCTCCGGCGCCGGCCAATTTAAGTCAACCTCTACAGACTTCTGTGGGGTACCGATGTTGTGGACGTGACCTGTTGTCGTCGCCATCATATGCAGATAAAGCCGATGCCTCTGCAGGGACAGCTGGAGGCAGTGGACAAGTGTTGGGGGTTTGGGGTTAGAAACTCCACCTTGTTTTGTTTTCGGGGGCTCTTATCACTGCAAACTGTCGGAGGTGGTCCTTCTGCTTCTTTTTCGCCAAAGTTGAAATATTCCAACGTTGGCAAAAGTTTTGGGAAATAGTGGTTATTTCTATTTATTTATTTCCATGGTGGATAGCGGAAGTGATAACTGTCTTTAGGGAGCCAAGGCGATAAACCACACACCCTCTCGGGTGTGTAAAGCGTTCGCTTTTGGTGTAAACGCAGCAGTAGAAGGTTCTGGCTATGACTCCATTGGAAGAGATGAGAATCCCGTGAACCATTTGCCTTTCACTGGAGAGAGAAAATGATCGTTAAGCAGAGAGATTTGTGAAATGAATGTATTCCCACAGACACGTCACTATTTGAGTGTTTGCCTGTGTGAAGTAGATCCCAAGAATTGCTTTGTTGAATGCAAAGTTGTCACAATTGAACTGAAAAGAAACGCCTCGTCACTGTGATACCAAACAAAGTTGAAAATCTACTATTGAGATAAATTGGGAGAACTTTGACATTGGTATTGTTTATGTTTTTAAGAATTTGTTCCAGATTTTTTTTCCTGGATGATTTACCCCTAAAACACCTCTATTATTGCCAAGTGTCATTACTGTTACAAAAAGTGCTTTTTGAAAGCACTTGTTGACATGACCTTTTTATTTTAGCCTTTTTATTTTAGAGTCATTTAGAGAACTATTGAAAATAATCTCCTTTGTTATTTATTTAAAAGAAATGAAAGGTGTGCCACAACCAACACTACCCGTCACCTAATGACCACAGCTCCACTTCCTTATTCCAGTGCAGTCTGTAACCGCAGTGCCTGTTGGCATCAGCAATGTTTGACTCTTTTACAACAATTTATTCGTTTTGAGTCCTTTTTTTGGTCACAATTGGTTTAAGAGTATGACAGTGATAAGTGGGATCAGAAGAAAACATTTCTGTGTCCTTTGGTAATAAGATTGATTCCCCTCAAAAACAGTTATACAAACTTGTCAAATGAGGTTTTTTTATCAATAACCCTTTTTATGATGTCAGGCATTTTTTGCTCATTGATGGACATCATGATTCTTGGACAAGAGTACGCTTCAATCCATTGCCTCTTGCCATTGGTAACTCCGTTTGTTTAGCCTTTCCTTTATTGTGATAAGTTACACCACAGAAACTCAAAAGCAACCTAACTGGTCCTTTGTGCGCGTGCGTGCGTCTGTGTGTGTGCGTGCGTACACGACATGTGGTCCTGATGGGACATTCCTTTATATCGACTGTGCGTGTGTGCTATTTACGTGTTAGCATAGAGAAACAAATGAGGTAATCTGGCATTCATCAGTGCCTAGCCTCTTATTGACAGCGCCGCACGTAACTGATGACTGCATAATATCAGTATGTTTAAAAAATCATTTTATATAACAGTACACATTACATAATATGTATATTAGATATATAGATCTTTATATATATTAACAACTATGTTAGTTTTTCTAATTACTTTTGAGCCTCTGAAAATGGGGAGGACTGTGTCAAAATGGCTGTAATTCCTAAACGGGTGGTGTTTTATTAAAATGTATTGAATTAAAGCTGAAAGTCTTCACACTCAAATGTATGGACATGGCAGATTTTTATGTGACTTATTGCATAAGATTCCAAATGATGAGAAGGCTCCAGGTAAATCTAAAGCAGTGCAAATACTTCATTCTGTATTTCACCATGATAACACTAATACATATTTGATTTCTTTCGCACAGAATCTGCTCCAACATCTTTTGAAGGCAGCTATGGTAGGATCGTTTACAGAGTGAGAGCCTTTATTGACACACCGCGGTTTGTCAAGGACTACAACACAGAGAAAGCTTTCTATCTAATACGCTTTCTAAACCTGAATGAATTGCCAGACATATGGGTAAGACATGGATGTGTGAACATAGACAATCTGTGACTGATTAGACTTATACACAATACGAATCCAGGTCTTCTGAGTTAAAAAACGTACCACCAACATGTTAAGATAGATGCTGAGATAAATGTGAAATCACAATTCAGTCATTGATCTGTCAGAACCTTTATGTAGTCGGATTGTCCGATGCGTTTGAGCCCTAAGAATGTGGGATGGAAAGATCCCTGTATGTCACTGTTAATATTAATAATAATAACACAGACCATCATTGTCAACTTCAATAGCAACAATCAACACAACTCAAGTGGCTTGATAATGTGTCTTCACCTTCTCCATGGTTGCTTAATTTGCTTAACATATAGTTAAAGTGACCTGTAAAGTCATCTCACAAATGCATTAGTATTTTATTTCTCAGGCAAGCAAACTGTTAAATAGTCACTACTACTTGAGGCAGGTGGACAATGTTACCTAACTTCCAGGTCATGACCCACCAACACGTCTGAAATCCCCTTGTAGATTCTGTGTTTTGACGCCTATCCAAGCCTTCCCCCATCCTTTCTCAAATTGACCCCAGTAATTAAATACAAAAAATAACAAATGGTTTTGACATTTTTATCAATTTTAAATTTTAAATAAATGTTAAACAAATGTTAACAAAATCCTCAGGTATGTCTTGATGTCTTATTATATTGTATATACGTTATTGTCATATCTATGATCTGAATTAAGTTTTCAACTGATTTGGCATATTTTGTTTTTCATAACTGTTATGCTTGTTATATTGAGTTTAACTGTGATATTGCAATAGAAGAGGAGTTGTGACTCTGTTTAACTATAAAAGCACACAGCTCACTTTTGGGTTTTTTGTAACATTACAGTAAATTAGGGCTTGTTGACCAAAGAGCTTCTTTCTGATTGATTCAAATATCAGGCATTGACTTGTGCCTCCCAGTCTGTAAGCTAAGCCATGATAACCATGTCTAGAGTCCAGATCTGTGCTATTTCTATATTGTCCACTACCTGGTAATATAACATATCGAAGAAAACCACTTGGCCTGTTTAAGCAAACATAAATCCATGTCAGCGGGTTAAAAGGCCCTTCTTCATGCAGGGAACCTGCTCATCAGCAGTAAAGCAGCAGTTCACCTACATGCTGGTGAAGACGGGCACAGTGGACCTGAAGGCCCAGTGCGACAGGAAGGGTTACACCCCAGACCAGATCATCCAGGTGTTGGTCAACATTCACAACCAGTCTGGGAAGACCACAGGCAACGTGGCAGCCAGCCTCATGCAGGTAAACGCTTTGGTTCTGACTGATCCTGTGATGGGCATGTGAAGTTCCTGCTTTTCCCTATCTCTGCCCTTTGTGTTTTTAGTATCATTTCTTTGTACTCCAATTTGTGAATCTTCATGTGCTTTCAGAGAGTTACCTACGAGACCAAGAGGCCTACCCATGATGTGAAAACGATTGTAGAAGTTGCGGGTGGTGTGGTAAAGGCTGGCAAGGAGTTGGAGTGGAAAGAGCAGATTATTGTTCCGCCTCTCCCTCGGTCCTCCCTGGCTGGCTGTGATCTTATTAAGATTGAATACTATGTCAAAGTAAGATATGCTTGAAATACTGACACTGAAATTATCCCTGACATTTTCAGTTCTCAATCGCAGAGCACGAAAAATGCCCTGCCTTGTCATCTCGGGTCTGATACACTGAGACTGTAACCCATCCTTAGAAAGGGTTTTATTGACAATCGTTCCAAATAACAAGGACAACAGTGTCCAAAAGGTGCAGGAGAATGGTAGTGCTCCTCTTGTGCTCGGTCTTCGGGTGTGCAGCGGGTTTAACAACGATCTTGGGCTTCCAGGATGTGCGGGCTGAGCGTCAGGCGCTGGTGTCTGAAGATAAAGCAAGAGGTGTTAGAACAAGTCTCTCCCACTCGCGCAGGAGACGGACCTCTTTTGGTGTGAGCCTGCCGCTTAAATGGGGTTTGGTTAAGTGGCACCAGCTGCCGGCGCCCAACCCGCGATTGGGGTGCAGCCGGTTTCCTTAGCGCCTGATTGCTGGCATCAGGTGACTCACCACAACATCTAGAGATGGAAATGTTTGTCCATTCTTGGCAAAAAGCTGAAGCTCAGTCAGCTTAGATGGAGACCATCCATGAACATCACTTTTCAGATATTGCCATATATTCTGGATTGGGTGTGGGCTTTGACTGGGCCATTTTAGAAGATTAACATCTTCGATCTAAACCATTCCATTGTAGCTCTGTATGTTCAGGGTCATTGTCCTGCTGGAAGATGAACCTCTGCCCCAGTCTCAAGTCATCTGCAGAATGCATCATATTTTCTTCAAGGATTGTCCATCAATCATTCCCTCAATTCTGACTAGTTTCCCTGTACCCACTGAAGAGAAAGTATTGGGTTTCCTCCACATTCCAACGTTATCGTTATTTAAATAGTTTCCTATTTTTGTGCATTCAATTTTTTTTTTAAAGTAAGAAATCTGCACAGATATTTTATTTACGTGTATTGATTATTCATTTACAGGAGGGGGTCAGTAGATATGGCTTCAATGTCTAACTAACTAACAGACGAAGCTGCTAGCAAACCCTTCGAGCATTCAATGCCTCAGGCATGCTTCCTTTAAACATATAGCTACAGAATTTTTATTCACAAGCTTAGTGAAACTGCTCTATGTGATTCCTTGTAGACGTTTATTGTTTATTCTAACCCTAACAATAACCCTATCAAGATTTGCCGCTCTGAAACATTTACATACTGAATTTTGGCGCCTTTTGGTTTCTTTAGAATAAGAGTAGGTCGTGGGTCAACATTCTGTATTCCTCAACAACATATAACATCCTCTTTTCCTCTGATCAGGTCAGTCTAAAGTCTCCAGACGTCATGTTGACATTACCCATCCACATCGGGAACGTCTCACTAGATGAAAAACTGCACCCTTCCAAACAAGCAGATCCTCCCTCCTCTGCAGCAGCTGAAGATACACAAGCATCAACCCCCAACATCTCCCCCACTCTGCCCCCACGCCCTGCCCCGAAACCTGCTCCCCGTCACAGGATGTCCTCTCATAACTCCCCCAGCGCTCCTCCAGCTGAGGGCCACCAGGGAGCCGAGGGCGGCACTCAATTGAATGACGTCTTCCCCAACAAGAGGCAGTCTCAGCTGGTGTCACCCAACGCTTTCAGCTATGCTCCCGGCCTCTTTTTCGCCCAGAACCAGCAGCACAACGGGCCTGGCACTGTACCCAGTGGGCCACCAGGAACCACAGCACCGTACCCCCCCGAGAACGGTCCCAGCTCAATGCCAACACCACTCATCCTGCCTCCAGATTACAGCACCTCATCTTATCCCCAAGGTCAGTTGGCAGCCCGCAAGCACATTCTCCATGTGGACTGCATGACGCTGTTTGTAGAGAAGAACAAGGCTGCAACTTAAGCCTAGTTTATGCTTCTTGTGTGTCTCTTGTGCCTTTTCACCCCTCCTTGCGTGCGTTGACCCATTTTTCTAGACTAGCGTCAAAAGCTACGCAAGCCTCACGCAGCCCGCAAGACTGTGATTGGTCTGCTAACTACATCCTTTCCAAAGTCTTTTTTTTTTTTTTTAACGAGAGAATGAATCCGATTAAAGAGCTTTTGTCGGAAGAAATAAGGATGCGCAGATGGCCTCTGATTCGTGGAGGGAGATCTCCACAAACGTCGGTTTGCCGGTCGAGGGGAACAAAGTTGTGGAGGAAAATACGGGACACATTTGTCCCGTATTTTCGGGGGGAAAAAAGCAGCAGTGGCAATGCACGGGGCAATAAAGTCTATGATAAATAAATAGACCAACCAACGACTTCCACACACGAAGACGTGACTCTCTAGGTCGTCTTCAACAAAACACGTTACTCCACCTGTTGTTCTGGCGGTGAATTGCTTTGCAACACGCACAAGCCTTTTAAAACCATGCATTGAAACAAGTGCGTCGACACGAAGCCTGCGCAGAAGCATGCGCCAGCCTTTAGGGCTGATTTTAACACGCCTGTATTTCCCACAATGTATGTTGGTAATCCTTTTGTTAGTGATTCTTTCTGGATCCTGACAGAAATAACATTTGCATACTGTTATTCATTTGAGGTCATAGGCAACATTTCATTGTAAGATGGTCTTTATCAGGGACTCTCTTTTTCCCCCCTATGCAAACCCTGACTTAACTTTAACTTTCTGACAGTCATTTTCTCTGGGATGGAAGTCCAGATCAGTTAAGAGTTTACCAAAATGCTTACATATGCCTGCTTTGAGGCATTAATTTGCTCTACGTTGCCTCCCAGGCTACGTATAAGTTGCCGTACCACATTGATGAAGGTTGGGTTTGGCCAACAATCAACTGTCATCAAGCCGAGCATCATTTTCAATTCCATGTGCTGAACATAATGAGTGAAACATTTACATTATCATAGACATATAACTTTGAGAAAGTGTACTAGTACAAGTAGTGGCTAAGTGCCAGACTAAAAGGGTATTTTTAAGTTTTCTCTCCTCCCCTTAGGTCCTCCAGCAGGCCCTTCTAAAGGCTGAGCGGTCTCGGGCTCCAGACCTTAGGAACAAGTAAAAGGCCACTATCAGATGACCTGAGGGATCTAGTTGGTACACATCTCAAAAGCAGTTCAGTCATTGGTAGACTAATAAAACAATCTTAAATTCTATTGTTAGACCAACACACATTACTCAGTGCTGGTATAAAATGTATTGCCAATTCAACTTCTTAGGGAAAAACGTATGCATATGTCCTGTTAATATTGTGATAGAAGCAGAAGCGCATATGATCAGTAGAAGTTGTTGCTCATTAGGCTCATACCGCTGTGAGCATCTGGTGTGGAAAATGTGATCCGTAACTGTTTGTGTAATGACCAGCTGATGGTGACTGTCTGTTCCAGATGCTCCTCCTTCTTATAACGACAGCTGCAACTTGTGAAGTGGAAGAAGAACCAGCGACCTCTCACCTCTACGCTGGCCTGTCATTGTAAGAGGACAAGACAGGAATCTTAATGTAACCTGGTGTGATGATGTTATTTCAGGTGCAGGTTTAAAGCTTTTCTAAATGTAGGTGAATCAGCATTTTGAATTGACCAGGACCTCTAAGGGCTTGGTGAACAATTCCTTCACTTATCCACAGGGCACGTTCTCTCTTTCAAACCTGCCTCAGTCAATCAACTGTCAGTCCATTTTTGTATACTTTTGGCACTTTGAAAAAATTGAGGAATATACTGAATTTGAGAGGCAGTTATTGCAGCAACAAGACGGTTTTTAGAAGGGGGTTATTTAGTAATCACTTAGATGGCATCTGTGATGTCTAAACGTTTAAATTTTTGTTTTTACAAAAAAGTTGTGTAATACAACCATATCTCATCTCAAATATATGTGTGTATGATATACCTTTTGTGAAAAGTCAAATAAGAAATTAAGATGTGTGTTATTATCATCTCCATTCTTGATTTGAGTATTGAAGACTGCATTAAACATTTTTTATATGGCTTTGATCAGTAGTTTTTTAATTTTATGGTGATAATAAACTATAGATATTGCTCCATTTATTTTTGTAAGAATATCATGCATGGCCCTGCTTGGAGAATGATGCTTTTGTATTCTTTCCCTGCTGAATGTACGTTGGCTGTTGGCGCAAGAGATCCCGTCTGTCTCGTTTTCTTATTTTAGTAGTTAACAGAAATGCAATATCACTGTTATTTGAGGTTTTCTTTGGCAATTCTTGATGTGTAATTTAATCATATTTTAAAATATTTTTTCAAGTTAAATCCTTTAACAAAAAACACTATTTATTTACTCTCGAGTTTTTCTTTTGCTGTCTGGAATACAATAAAGCTGCTCAAATCACTTATGTCAACCAGTGTCTCATATTTCCGACAGAGTAAGAGGCCGTTCCATTTCCACACAATTCTGCCTTCTGATGCTGTTTAAGTTTACACTTTTGTTTGTAACGGATGGAACTTAACTGATTGAGACTGCATATTAGTAGCATGTCTGTAACTAACTGTTAACCTACTTGATTGCGATAATACTGGAATGGCCAAACCTTGAGACAGTTTGCTACCGTCTGACTTAGGTAGTGTCCACATGGTGATGGAGGCGTTCCCATGGTTTCACACTAGTTTTGGAAAGGGATGAGTGAGAGAGGGGTTTCTAATTGGCTGCAATCTGCAGCCTCACTACTGGAGGCCACCAATATGTTCCTTTTCTTTTTACCCGCAAGGGTTTAGAGACCTTCACATTTTCTTCAGGGTCCAGTGTTCATTTCTAAAGCCTCGCATTAAGACACACGTCACTTTATTTAAGACGCTGCGCTACTTGCAAGTCGCTGTGTTGTGCCAAATTCTCAATAAAGTTAGATCTAAATATTTACGGCAATTTAAATTGCTGTAAATATTTTGACCTTAGTCAAATTTAAATTTGACTGTTTAAGTCACGGAATGTCATTTTAGGACTTTTTCAGACCAGAAGTTAGTTATTTCAGCAACAATTTTGTTGGCAGTTTGTCAACATTCATCCTACTTAATAATCAGCTCCAGGATGTCCAGAGATGTGAGGTCTTGTTAACGGGACCGTCAGACCTCACCATCATCATCATCATCATCTTAGCCCGCAGAGAGCAGCCTGTCAAGTCTTCTGTGAAATGCTCCGCTGGTATTCACGTCTCCGTAACGGTTATACATGAGATATACCTACCGTATAACTAGGCTTGAGTGTTCAGAACCTTTAATGGAGTCTGTTCGTTCACCGGTAACGTTGTCTGAGGGCAAAGTTTAGATTCATAACTTTAAGCTGAACTTTAACGTCTTGTCTCCACAGTGAGTTTCGGTAGTGTGTATCATTGTGCATTAAAACTATCAATGTTTGGATTAAAGTACATCTGAGAAGATCCGGACCGTCAATGAGACTGAGATGAGATTTAGAGATAAACACCATGAGGTGAATGACTATTGATGTAGAGACACAGATGAGATTCAGATACATTTAATTTAATCTATAGTGATGTTTGTGGATTTAACCAGACGGGGACCATCACACTGATTATCGTCCTATTGATGTTTGAGTAACAAGGAGACAAATGGTAGGTGTGAATGTAGCCCTATCGGGTAAAATACTTATTGATTCCTGTTGCATCATCAGCTCTACTTCCACTGCTCCCGTTGCCTAGCAACCTGCTACGCTTGATAGTAAAAGCCTTAAAAATACAGAGAAGATTATCTTCTTCTTATTTATATAATTTAGGAAGATATGTATCATCCAGAGCATGACATATTTCAGGCTAAGAGAAGATCATTTTTCGGTTATTTTAACTTCAAATAAAAGGGTTAGGGTGAGTTAAGCAAGCTTTCAGATAAAAGTAATACTGTATTGCAATCTTAAGCCAGAGGAAATAAATAAATAAATAATGTCAATAAAAACCACAACAGCAAACACATGTATTAACTTATGAGCTATTTTAAGATATTACAGAATATGTCCAAGTAGCTAAAAGGACAAAAGTAAATTCAAAGTTTATAATCACCCAACAAAACAAAGGTGCAAAGCAAGTTCAGGGGGAGGAGCATGACGGAGTTAATTATCACTAAGAGCAGTTTATTCACGTGTCTTATGTGTATTTAAAACACGACATCGGTTACCAACGTCACGTAACCATTTTATAAACTAAGATGTGATGTTGTATAGTATAATATAACATTTATATCGATATATATTTGGGTGAATTGTATTACTTAACCTTACATTTTAAAGTAAACGCTTCCCCCGCTGTCGGATCACCCGCCTCCGTCCTGAATAAATGAAATCCTCGTCGGCCCGCACTGCATGCTGGGAAAATGCTGGTCCGCAAAGGGTAGATCAGATGTGTCCTGCAAATCGGCGCCTGGAGGGCTGCGTCACTCGACCCCGTTCGGAGGAGGAAAGCGGCCGAAGTGACGTACGCTGCCGACGAATGCGTCCTTAAGCATGCAGCCTTGGGAATTGAGACGTGCCCACAGCATCACGTGCTTGAGAAGGTAGAGGCGGAAGTGAAAACTCTTATCTTCCGTTCCCGTCCTTTGCTGGTCACCCTTCCTCGGATATTCTACACCAACTGGAGCTGGTAGGATGAAACGCTGCTACTTACATTTTTCTCTAAATCGAAGCTCTCGTGGGTGTGTGTAAGCCATGTACGCGCGCACACGCGTCCCCGCTTGGGCGCGTCCACCGGGCTTTGCTTTGCTTGTCTTCCATGTGGAAGCCATGGCCACGCAAAGATGCGCATACTATATGCACTATTTGACTTCGAGCGTCTTTTGCGAGAGTAGTGAAACTTGTTAAACTTTTTAGGCGCTGCTGTGTTGAGGCTCCTCGGGACGGCGATGGATTGCGGTGGAGCCAGTGAGCAGCCCGGACGAGGTAGAAGACCCGGTCAGCCCTCTGGGACCCCCGTTGCTGCCAAGGGCCAAGCAGCACAGAGCGGTCAGAGGTCCCATGTCAAGATAACTCCCTTCCACAGCTCACCCATACTCAACAGCAATGATGCCCTCGGCAGCAAAGGGCCAGGAGCCGCCTCTGGGAGACCGCTGGCTGCTCCGGGGGGCCAGTTTCTGGACACACTCGGAAGTCTGAATGTCAGACGGAGACTCTCTGCTCCTGGAAGCCACGAGCAACCAACTCCCACTTCAGGATCTATCCCGACCTTGACTGGAGAAAACGCACATGTAAGTCCAAGGATGTGTTGCCAAATGTTTGCACAACTCCAAGCATCTGTGATGTGTCTTGTAAATTCTCAGTGATAATTGTGATTGAATCAATGAAGAGAATTACAGTTTTAGATTTCCAGTTTTTGACAAGCAAACAGACTAATGTTATTCAAATTTGCCTGGTGTATTATGAAGATGAGAAAGTGTGGCCAATATTTTGGCTGGTACTGTATATTAAAACTGTCAATGTTGGCCGCACATAATAATTTAACACTCCATGCTTTACATATATATATATATATATTCTTTTTTTAAATATACCTAGTTAAGAGTTGCCATTTGATTTTTTTTTTCAATTACTAAATACATAATAATGTATACACAATATTCATATAATCACGTTAGACCAAAAACCAAACCGCCAACTCTTTGTCAGGGCGTGCAACAGATTGAATAAACGTCCATTTTCTTATCGTTCTTCCTCCATCGGTACACGTGTTGTTATGCTCCAAAGAAGGTAGATGAATATGTTGCCTTCATTTTGCCTTCAAAGCCTCCTGCCAGGAAAGCAACAAAGTCCAGCTCGGAGCTCCGTCCCGGCCGCGTGGACAAGGAGCATCGAGCGGTCTCCACCCTCACCTCCATCAAGCCTCCGTCTGGTTAGTCGTTCATTTCTTTGCAAACTTCAGTGATTTTCGTTGTAACTCGATGGTAGATCCAAACCTTGTTAAGTTCTCTTCATACAGAGTATTTCCTCGGTGAGGGGAGAAACCTTTAACAACTATGTGGATTTTGAATATTGGTAGATTTACAAAATTGAGCAGTAAGCCAAGCAAGGACCTACAGGTAGTATACAGATGTGTACCATTCATATACCGACTGAGTGGTGTCTGTTCGTCCTTCTTAAATGTTTCTTTTTGCAATATGAATAAGTTATTATTTTTGACATTCAATGTGAACTGATAAGTTGTGAGGATCTAAAACCACATGCATATCTATGTATTTATTTAAATGGTCTTAGACTTTGTTTTACAGAGTTGGTAATGTGATGTTTAAATCAAGCCTGATGTTGTCTTAAAAGTAAAAGAAAGATTGAGTTGGCCAATGCCCAAAACCGATGCATCTCTTCTAATAAATCTCTACGTTTTTTGCAAATTCTTGTTATTGATTTAATCATTTAGGTAGAGCCTTTTTGTGCTTTTTAAAGCAGCAGTTCTTAAAATGTGTCATCGGGATTTGTATTTGCGACTGTTTCAATATTCTTTTAAAAATGTAAGGAGAGAGGAGTAAAATGTGTTCATAGTTAAACGGCCATTGCTTTAATAACAATAAAAGTAGAATTGATACGATGACTTCTGGTCCCCACCTAACCTCAGTCTTTGTGCTTATCCTAGCTGTGAAGAGAAGAAAGCGGAAGATGGGAATATACAACCTGGTCCCCAAGAAGAAAGCCAAGGCCCTTAAACAGCAGGAGAAGGCAGGTCCATTATTTATGTCTTTATTTCTATTCATCAGACCTCCGACCAACACACCGTCAGTCGGCTATTAAAAAATGTGTTCAGATCATTTTTTTGGACAATTTGCAGATTGAGCAGGGCAAGAAACAAAGGGATGAAGGGGGGGGGTTGCGATGTATCCTAGGGTCCCCCAGCAGTCTAGGCCTATTGCAGCTTATCTAGGGGCTGGTCCAGGCGCGAGCCCTAATTATGAACTTGAGCCAGCCCTAACTTTATAGTTAGGGTATCAAAGAGGAAAGTCTGCTCTTAAATGAGGTGACTGTGTCTGGCTGCTGGTTCCACGGCAAAGAGCTTGATAAGTCCTGCTCCCTCACGCACGTAAAGGTACTAAAAAGTATTAACCTCTGAGTGTAGTGTTCTGTGAAAGATAATATATATATATATATATATATATATATTTTTAAAACACCGCCTAGCGTTTGTGACCGTATATCACTACAGACCATCTAAAGACAAGGAGTGAGATAAAATAGATGTAGTACTTTTATTAAGACAATTTGTTCTTTTTGTTATTCAGAAAGAGGAACCAGGACCTACTGTGGTGCCTAACAGAGCTGCTGGGGATAAGAAATTAGGGATTGTACCAGAGTATCAGAAAGCAGGAGAACCAAAGGCTGTGAAGAATCTATCGCTGGAGGTGGAACCAGGAGTAGACTGCCATGTTGAGTACACAGAGCTGGCCTTGGACTGTCTGGATCTGAAAGCTCAGGAAGAGCTGCTATCTCCCCCCTTGACAGGTAACAACAATATTTCACTAACTGATCCAGCGAAGATGACCTAAATCCATCATGTCCCCTTTTTCTTCTAGGGAACCCATTTTTAGCGTTATTTGGTGTGATTTGTGGTGCAGTAATGGAATGCATGTCTGCAGGTGTAGTAGCAGATGCTGCGGTGACAGAAACAGACCTGGCTGAGGAGTTGCCACTATGCTGCTGTCGTCTGGAGACTCCTCACAGCGGAGGCAACGTGTCCTCTATAGATCAGAGCTGCATGGCCATGGAGAGCACTGATGGAATGGTAACCATCATCTGAAGTGTGTATATATGTGTAGATATATATGTATATGTGTAGATATATTTAGATATAGTGCCTTGCATAAATATTCACCCCCCTTGGACGTTTTCCCATGTTGTACTGTTACAAACTGGAATTCAAGTTTTCTCCATTTGATCAAAAGTACATTACATTTTTTAGGTGCAAAAAAATACATTTTATTGGGACAAACAATAATGAGAACGAAAAAGTTAACTTCCTTTTGATGCAGAAGTATTCACCCCTTGACTCGATACCTGGTAGAAGCCACTCCACTGCTTCTTTTGGGCTACGTCTCCACCATCTTTGCACATCTACAGATGAAATGTTCGTCCATTCTTCTTGGCCAAAATCTGAAGCTCATTCAGATTGGATGGAGAATTTTCAAATCTTACCATAGATTCTCAGTTGGATTGAGGTGTGGACTTTGACTGGGCCATTTTAAACCATTCCGTTGTTCAGGGTCGTTGTCCCGCTGGAAGATGAACCTCTGCCCCAGTCTCTAGTCTTTTGCCGGATTGCTGGATTATATGTTCTTCAAGGATTGTCCTGTATTTGGCTCCATCCATCTTTCCCTCATTGTGACTAGTTTCCCTGTACCTGCTGCAGAGAAGCATCCCCACAGCATGATGCTACACCACCTGTAGCACAGGTGTCCCTGTTGGGATGGTGTGCTCAGAGTGATGGCCAGTGTTGGGCTTCATCCACATAGTCAAAAAGTGTTTTGGTCTCATTTGACCAGAGCACCTTCTTCCACAAGTTGGCTGTGTCTCCCACATGGCTTGTGGCGAACAGAAGCGATTTCTTATGGTTTACTTTCAACAGCGGCTTTCTTCTTGCCACACTTTCATAAAGTCCAGATTAGTGGAGTACACGGCTTATAGCTGTCCTTTGGACAGATTCTCCTCCCTCAGCTGTGGATCTCTGCAGATCCTCCTTAGCCAGCTTGTCCGTTTGGGTGGACGGCCTTCTATTGGTAGGTTTGCTTTTGACAATGGATTTTATGGCGCTCCATGAAATGGTCAAAGCTTGGGATATTTTTTTGTAACCTAACGCTACTTCATACTTCATCCCTGAGCTGTTTGGGGAGCTCCTTGGCCTTCACAGATCACGTGTTTTTATACTGAGATTAAAATGCAGACAAGGGGACCCTATTTACTAATTATGTGATTTGCAAATTATAATTTATGAAGGCAATTGGTCTCACCAGATCTTCACGGTAAAGGAGGACACATGCACCCAACACTTTTCAAATTTGTATTTGTAAATAATTTTGAGGTCCAAGTAAACTTAGCCCCTACTTCCACATGGACTATTTTGTGTTGTTCCATTGCATAAAATCCCAATGAAATTAATTATACATATTGTTGTACCATGACAAGGGGGGTGACTACTTGTACAAGGCAATGTGGATATATAGAAATATTTATTTGAGCATAATTAAAACTAGGTAAAAAGGGCAACAAGATGGACTGTGAAAAGATATGGAGACCATAGACTGTCCGGGTCTGTTGGAAGATGAACCATTGGCCCAGTATGAGGTCCAGAGTGCTCTGGAGCAGGTTTTCATCAACAATGTCTCTCTACATCCCGACTAGTCTCCCAGTTCGTCCCGCTGAAAAAAGTCCCACAGCATGATGCTGCTACCACCACTATAGGGATGGTATTGGCCAGGTGATGAGCGGTGCCTGGTTTTCTCCAGACATGACGCTTGACATTCAGGCCAAAGAGTTACTTTTTGTTTCTCATGGTCTGAGAGTCCTGTCATGTGCTTTTTACCGGGTAGCGGCTTCCGTCTGGCCGCTTTACCACACAGGCTTGATGTGTGGAGTGCTACAGAGATGGTTGTCCTTCTGGAAGGTTTTCCTCTCCTCATAAAGCAATGCTGGAGCTCTGGCAGAGTGACCATCGGGTCCTTGGTCACCTCCCTGACTAACTATTTATATATGTACACACACACGTTGCGTGTCGTGCATTCAGAGATGGTATTCTTGGTTGCACTCCTTGGTTGTAACTGGTCTTGACATACTGACCGACCAGCCTGTCCGGCACCAACAAACATGCCATGTTCAAAGTCACTTAAATCCGCTTTCTTGCGCCTCGGCCTATTGTCAGAAATCAGGTAGAAATCCCATCCAGTTCTCAGAAAGACGTTCAACTGATTGTACTGCAGTTTCTACTCACCAATTGACGTCTATAAAACACATCGAATACTTAGGCGCTGTTCTCACAAATAGATGAGTTTATGTATCAGAGCAGTCACCATGAATTGATTATGATGGTGCTCCTGCTGTACGTTTCAATGGAACACATACTTCCCACAAACTTTATCCAGGAAACCAAGGATAACCTGTCAGAACAACAATGGAACCTTTAGGATATGCCCAAAGTAGAAGATATCAATAAGAGCTGTTGGGAAAGATTTGTATTGGTACACTGTTGGTTTTATTGTTGTACAGTGTAATTCTTATTATCTTCTCTCCTCAGCTGGTTCGTTGTCAGAGGCGAGTCACGAAGCAGGAAATGATGCGACCCTCTAACACGGTGCACCTTCTGGTTCTGTGTGAGGAGCACCGGGCAGGCATGGTGAAGCACCACTGCTGCCCCGGCTGTGGACTCTTCTGCAGGGCGGTGAGTGGAACAGACCCCACCCTCACTGTAAACATGTGGGACCTCAGTGTACACTATTATTATTAATGTAAAGTAGATTTGATTTAAGAAGAACTTAATTGTGAAACATTTTGGTCAGACTTTAAAGTCATTCATTAATGTTGTTACAATATCCTCCAGCAGATAAAATGTTTTGAAGCCTGTTTGAACTTTGAACTTCATCGTGGTTGTGAAATTTTGCAAAGCCATTTTGGCAAAATTCCACACGTATGATGGGTGAATCTGCCCCAATTTGGGGTATGAAATTTGAAGTGTGTGTGTGTGTGTGTGTGTGTGTGTATAATATAATCATACATTGTGATATAAAAACTAAACAATGTTTACAAATGGTGGAAACTTCTGTCGCTCCAGCCGTCGGTTTGGTCAGGTTAGGTTACTTTTATTTGTACCCGTAGGTAGACTTGGTTTACAATAGAGAGCGAGGCATCCACGTTAACACATTATTAACAACACAGACAACAATACTAACCAGGCTAGTAGTAGTGCCAATAAAAGGTGTCAAAAGCCAACTTGAGCATTAGTAAATGATGGTGTTGAAGAGCATCAGGGAGGACATCAAGACAACCGGTGGTGTAGGGGCACTCTGCTTTGAATGTCTTGAATGATGTTTTTGTCACTTAAATAACTTATGAATCTTAATACAGTGTTCTCCCGGTCCGTCCCACAGGGCACCTTCATGGAGTGCAGGCCGTACGGCAGCATCTCCCATCGATTTCACCGCGACTGTGCTTCCATCTTGAGGGAACTCCGGTTTTGCCCTCACTGTGGAGAAGATGCCAGCGGTGCCAAAGAGGTCACAGTGTCCAGGGCCGACCCATCTCCCTCTGTACCCAGATCAAATCCTGGGCCCACACTCTCTGCCGTGGCCACTCTGCCTTCAGTACCAACCATGCCTGCTGTTCCACAGATACTCCGAGCGAAGAAGACCAGCGAGCCCCAGAGGGGCAGGGACGAGAGCCGCAGCGGGTAGCGTCTTCTCACAGAGAGAACCTCAGTAATATTACAACTACTAAACAGATGATTACAGTTGGCATTCTCTTTCCAGTGTAAACAGTGCAGCCATGTCTGTTGCAAACAGACAACCAAAAGAGTCCCTGGAGAGTATCCTGATGGCCCTGGATGATGAGAAGTAAGGTTAAACGTGGTACTTTACTTCAGTTTGCTGAAGTGTGGGACACAGTTTGCATCTTGTCATCCTCTTTCAGCCTGAAACCAAAGAAAGTGAAGTACCCCCCCCGACAGCTGTACATCTCTGCGAAAGAAGGAGAGCTCCAGAAGGTCGTTCATCTCCTAGGTAACATGTTAGTAGACAAAAAACGCTCACTCAATCACTCAATGTGTGCTTTTAGCATGTATTGTCATCACACTGATGGACCAAGCTTTGTAAATTCAAGTTGATGGAAAGGACCCCAACTTCCTGATGGAGGGCCAAAACAAAGGCACCCCTCTGCACGCAGCTGCTGCTGAGGGTCACCAGGAGATCTGTCACATGCTGGTCCAGGTGAGGAGACGTGTCATTATCAAGTGTTTGTAGTAGAAATGAATTTCACCTTTTGGGTATTTTTCAGAAAAAAGCTTTTTGGTAAATACGATGAGATTCAAGTCTTTAGAATTAGAATTGTATTACTGTGGAGTAATCCAGTATGAACTACAATGCTTCATCATTATTTCTCCTTTACTAAAGAAAAGCATGCTGAACAGTTCATTTTAAAGGTACCCTATCATAATATGTAAATAACACACAGTAAAAATGTAAAGTATTCAAAATTCGTTTTTCAAAACACACTTCAATTGTTACCCAATTTATATGTAGAAAAAGTAAGATAGTAACTAGTAATAGTAATAATCCAGTTCTCTTGGGGGGGAAACGGGAATTATTCACCTCAACTGAGGGGCACGATCCAGTATTTTGGATGAAAACCTTAACGATGTCTCCTCTTTTATTTCGACCCAGTTTCCTACCTCAGTTTGAGCATTTTTATATAATGATCTGTGTGTGTGTGTGTGTGTGTGTGTGTGTGTGTGTGTGTGTGTGTTCCTACTGTAGGCTGGAGCCAACCTAGACATGTTTGATGAGCAGCAGAGGACCCCGCTGATGGCGGCTTGTGAGAACAACAATGTGGAAACTGTGAAGTACCTGCTGAGGGCTGGAGCCTCCGTGGGCCACAAGGTGGGTCCGCTGTCCCCTATTATGTCTCGACTCATCATTCATTGATGTCTCGCTATTAACTGTTTCACGAAACAGGGCTCATCCACCACTCCGCAATAATGGCGTATGTAGCAGCACATACTAAAAGAATCAAAAGCACGTCATCTTCATGTCTTAAATATAAAAAAGTAAACAAATGAAGCAACATTTAAATGCTAAGCTTGGACCATGAATAAAGACATTACATTACAGGTCATTTAGCTGACGCTTTTATCCAAAGCGACTTACATTACATTTTTAACCCAAGGCTTTTTACATTTTTGCCCGGGACACTTCGACATGGGACATGGAGCAGCCGGGGCTCGATCCAGACAAAGCAAATGAAAATAGAAAATTAGGCATTCATCTGATTTTGTGTGGTTTTCTACTGTCCCTCTGTTGGAGAGACTGGGGGCTACTGGGAAAGAGTTGATTGGGTTTTTCCCATTGTTGGAACTACAGTTGTGGTCAAACGTTTACATACACTGTCGTGGTCTCTTGAGTTTCCAGTTATTTCTACAACTCTGATAGTGATTGGAACAGATACTTCTTTGTCACAAAAAACATTCATGAAGTTTGGTTCTTTTATGACTTTATTATGTGTTAACATAAAACCCAGCAGCAGAAAAATCTGCTGGGCATGAATTTGCAATTTTGGTGACTTAGAAAGTTGTGTCAAGGAAATGAGCTTCATGGCCTCTTAAGTTCTTGTGAGTGTTTATGAGTGACTACAGCTGTTTACGTCTCTGAAGCCATTTAAATAGGGCTCATTGGGTACAAACGCCCACAAACGCTACAATGGGAAAGTCAACGGAGCTCCGCATCGATCTGAAAAAGCGAATCATTGATTTGAACAAGTCCGGAAAGTCACTTTCAAAGCAGCTGCAGGTCCCAAGAGCAACAGTGCAAACAATTGTTTGTAAGTATAAAGTGCATGGCACTGTTTTGTCACCATCAGGAAGAAAACACAAGCTATCACCTGCTGCTGAGAGAACATTGGTCAGGAGGGTGAAGAGTCAACCGAGAACCACCAAAAAGCATATCTGCCAAGAATTCGAAGCTGCTGGAACACAGGTGTCAGTGTCCACAGACAGGCGTGTTTTTCATCTCCATGGACTGAGAGGCTGCCGTGCAAGAAGGAAGCTCTTGCTCCAAAAGCGGCACCTTAAGGCTCGACTGAAGTTTTCTGCTGATCACATGGACAAAGATTTCTGGAGGAAAGTTCTGTGGTCAGACAAAACAAAAATGGAGCTGTTTGGCCACAATGCCCAGCAATATGTTTGGAGGAGAAAAGCTGAGGCCTTTAACCCCAAGAACACCAAGTCTACCGTCAAGCACGGTGGTGGTAGTATTATGCTGTGGGGCTGTTTTGCTGCCAATGGAACTAGTGCTTTACAGAGAGTAAATGGGATAATGAAGAAGGAGGATTACCTTCAAATTCTTCAAAATAACCTAAAATCATCAGCCCGACGGTCGGGTCTTGGGCGCAGTTGGGTGTTCCAACAGGACAATGACCCCAAACACGCATCAAAAGTGGTAATAGAATGGCTAAATCAGGCTAGAATTAGGGTTTTAGAATGGCCTTCCCAAAGTCTTGACTTAAATCCCATTGAGAACATGTGGACAATGCTGAAGAAACAAGTCCATGTCAGAAAGCCATCAAATTTAACTGAACTGCACCAATTCTGTCAAGAGTAGTGGTCAAAGATTCAACGAGAAGCTTGTGGATGGCTACCAAAAGCGCCTAATTGAAGTGGAAATGGCCGTGGGACATGTGACCAAATATTAGCACTGCTGTATGTATATTTTTGACCCAGCAGATTTGATCACTTTTTCTGTTGACCCATAATAAAGTCATAAAAGAACCAAAACTTGTTTTTTATGACAAAAGTATCTGTTCCAATCACTCAGAGAAAAACCTGACTTGTAGAAATAACGGGAAGCCATCACATTATGTTCTTTACAAGTGTATGTAAACATTTGACAAGAACTGTAGCTTAATACAGCACAATTTTGGAGGGAAGTTCTATAAAATAAATTTGGAAATAAATATCTGATCAGTGGGCCGGTGGGGGGGGGGGTAGTTGTAGTAGCAGCTGATTCTATAATGGATTTATGGACAGCTTATACAATCTTAAATGTGAAAAAAGACGACCTTTTGTAGAAAGACTGATATGGGAATTTTAATAAGGGAAAATACCCGACAACTAGTCGGCAAAACACGCATTACCATATTTTGTAATCAATGGGAAATAACCAGCCATGCATCCCACATTTTGTGTCCAACTCTTCTGTTCACCATTCACAGTACTATGATTACATGTACTGCTCGCCAGCCAGTTCGCTGGTTCGCGTGCTAGCAAAATTGTTCAACGTGAATCATGTTGTCATCCCAGGATATCATTGGTTTCACCTGTCTGCATCTGGCTGCTAAACTGGGGCATTGTGACATTGTCCATCATCTACTCGCCAAAGCATCCAAATACATCAACTGTCAGGTAGAGTGACTCGACCACTAACAGCTAATGTTATCAATAATCAAATGTTAGTAGATCTGCTTACAGCCTGTGACTGTGCAGGACGATGGGGGATGGACTCCCATCACATGGGCCATTGAGTGCAAACACAAGGAGCTGGTCCACCTGCTGCTAGCTAAAGGGGCAGATGTTAACCTCAGAGACAAGGTGAGTGGCCACAGTACCACCACCCCCCTCCCACTCCCCACAAACACACACCATGTCTCATATCGGTCCGAATGGCCGAAGATTTCTAGTGTCTGGAGGTCTTCTACAAAGCGTCTGTGGGTCACTCACTGGACCCCAAAATGTTCCCCAAGCTGCGGCATCAGTATGGGTGAATAATTGGATTAGATCAGGATGGGGGGGGGGGTTACACCTTGTAGAGTAGTCTGTGAATATGTGTGAGTCATTTAATGGTCAATGCCCTGTTCAGAAGACTGCTGTATGACCATTCAAGTCCCTTTACTAATATTGTGGTTAAATGTCACTGTGACCTTCCAGAACTGGTTTCTGGTTTAAAATATTGTACTGAAATGTGTGATCATTAAAACTTTGACTGTGACAATAACCTTTTAGAGGGTTGCTTGTTCTTCAGATCTTATTGGCATTATTTGGCTCTGACTCCTACAATTCAGTAATCAATTCCCTCACTTCCTCAGCTGACTTTGGGTCTCTGGGCCTGTCTTTGTCCAGCATCATCATCGTATTTCTTGCTATCTGATTGAGTTCCTGTGACTGCCTCTTATCCAAGTCATGGACTGCTTAGCTTTAGAACAACCCTGGCCCCGCATGGATATTCATCATCTTCGAACTAAGCTACAATTCTCATCATTTATTTTATAATTTGCGTTTTTTTTCTCCATGAAAGTTAATTGTAACCATATTCATCAGCTAGATATGTGTTGATGACGACAAATGTGCCAAAACAAGTTGCCAACTTGAGGCTTTAAACCGCCAGTCCATAACAATATCGCTGTGACTCGTTTGAGACCTTTCTGTGTTTAACTTGGAACAATTGCACAAGCTTCACGATACAAGACTAATGCTAGCGGCTCGGAGGCTGTATTCATGCCTAGCAGTATAATAAGCCAAAGGCTGATGTCAGCACGCGCACAATAGCAATGCTGGAAAGCAGAATTTTTACAATGGGTACCATCTCCATTTCTTTCCATAGTTTAGGGACGGATTCGGCATACTGTGAAAACAGTTAATGTATGTGAGTAGTCACCATGGGTACTGTGTCACACAGTCTCCTATCACCTCATCCAGCATATCTTCATCACCTGCACAGGTGGAGGATTGCATAAGTAAGTAAAAAGGGGGAAATAGTGCACAATCACATTTCCTAATCATGATGAAAATATGGATGTGTGCAAAAATCCTTCTTTAAATGATTCCAAGGGTGTTGATACGACTGGTTGTCGAAATCATGGAAGCTTTGAGTGTACGCATTTAGGGTGGATCCTAGCATGTTGTTTCCTTTCTGAATACACCATTGCTTACCACCGATCTGCTCCCTGTCCAGGAGGAGAATGTGTGCCTGCACTGGGCAGCCCTTTCGGGATGTGATGACATCGCCCTGGCTCTGCTGGAGGCCCAATGTGACCTTAACGCTGTTAACGTACATGGGGACTCTGCGCTTCATGTTGCTTCCAGAGAAAACCACTTGGAGTGTGTGATGTGAGTGTAATCTAGGAACCAAATGTATACAGACCACTGTCAAATCCAGGTGAGGTCATTGCAAATAAAAGGTGAACACTGTGTGTTTGTAGGCGGGTCTACAACATATAATTCATTCATTTCAATAGTCGCATTCTCCTCCTGCCATCCAAAGGCTGATACCTTATTTGTTTCTTGTTATGCCTTGTTTCGCCATACTGTTAATCATGGCCTAATACTGGCTAGTAGAACTGCAGTGATATGGAAAAAGCGCCAACACACCCATATTGTTGCACTGTTGTATAGGTTACAAAATGCTTTTTGGAAGCCAAGTCATCACACTTTAAACTTTAGACAGCGTTCATCTGCAGTTTGTTTCTGTCTCGTGGAGCCGACATCAATCAGAAGAACAAGGAGGGAGAGACTGCTTTAGACTGCTGCGTCTTTGGCTCCAAGGTGTGGACAACCCTGAACACAAACAAGAAGCTGACGGATGCCAGCAGAGGCCGGGACAGTCCTGGAGAGAGGCTGCTCAGCAGGTGTGTGTGTGTGTGTGTGTGTGTGTGTGTGTGTGTGTGTGTGTGTGTGTGTGTGTGTGTGTGTGTGTGTGTGTGTGTGTGTGTGTGTGTGTGTGTGTGAGAGATTTACATTCATGAAACAATTTTTGTAAATCGTGATTCTGCTGTCTTCTTGTCTTGCTTATGGAACAACAAAATATGGAAAATGATCAAGTTTAAAACCAAAGCTGGTTTAAGTTTTATAGGTATAGTGTGGCGTTGTAAAAGATGTCTTCTAGACAGGCAGTTTGAGCAGCTCTTTGTAGACATCAGCGAACCAGGTTATTGCATAAAATATTGAATGAACGCTTAATGCCATTAAAGCGTTAACAAAAGAGTTAGGGGAAGACGAAGGAGCGAAGAAGACGTTATGTCGTTAGGAGCTGTATTTATCATCATATAGAGTAGTGTTGTCTACTGAGCAGAGAATGAGGTCTTGTTCCCTTGGTTTGTGTTGTCACAGCGCCTCCTTGATTTGTTTTTAGCTCGCTAGTGACATCGAAACGTAGAAGTCAACTTCAAAGGAGACACATTACTAATTGTCAAGTTGTGGTGTTTCCTGTCTAAGTTCTGGATCGGCTTGAGGACGGGACCACTCAACTTAGTTTATTTTTTCTTAAATCTTTGGTCTGGTTGATTCATATGGAAGTCCATTTCCGACACAAAAGAAAAGGAGGGTTAGAAAGTCAGAATCAGGACTTTAGATATGCGCAGGCTCCTTCGTTTGGTAAATTGACTTTCCAAAGCCTCTTTTTGTCAAAAGTGACCAGCGACCTTATCTGGTTTTATTGGAGACTTTTGTGGTGTCTGACGTGAAGGCACGTATTGTTTTGCAGTTACTTCCCTTAGCGAGTCTCACAGAGACCTGGCGGCTTGCAGCAGTCCAGCTGCAGTCAGAGCACAGAGGAGACACACGTCACGTCCAGACTGGCATCACAAAGCCACCGCTGATTCTGCAGCCTCTTTGAGGAATTGGCAACACTGGTTCAATAAAGAGAGAACTCTTTTAAAATGTTTCTAATCCCTACGGAATAAATACCACTCGGAACACATTTTATTTCCCAATAAGTTTGCTTTATCTCTGACTCAGAAATCCCGAAGATGATTTTAAAACAAATGTTCTTTCTCTTAGGGATATCTCTCGGGGGTACGAGGCAGTTCCTATTACCTGTGTTAATGACGTCGACAGCGAGCCAATCCCTGACAACTTTAAATACATCCCTGACAACTGTGTCACCTCCCCCCTGAACATTGACCGGGACATCACTCATTTACAGGTGAGACCACACACATTCATGGTATAGTGTTCTAAAGAAGGAAAAGCAAGATGCCCATGTCATATATCTGTGTATTTTCGGAATATTGTGATATTTTATATTCAATACCAAAACAACAGTAAATCGCGCCGTATTAATGATACACATGATGAAAACTACAGTGGCCATCATGAAAAACCATATTCAGCATCTATTTTTTAAAGACTGATGTATTGAGTGTGAATGCTACAAGAAGGGTTACACTTATGTGCTCACAATTATGCCAGGACGCAAGAACCATCATATGTGTGCCTTCAGAGATCCAATCTGGCTCTCAGTGAAATCCAATCAGCCAGCCCACACCCGAAGGTGGACCGGCTAACATTTTGAATTTATTGGCATGTGTAGCTTTTCATTGATAAAAATAATAAGTCTCAGGGTGTTTTTACATACAACCTGATGGGAAAAAGACGCCTATTAAATTGCGCAGCGCTCGGTGCCCTTTGGATCCCGCTTCCTGGGTGCAGCTAAAATACAGAGAACGCAGAACCGAGGCTGGCAACCTTCTCCATACATCTCCTCCAGTTTACCACAAGTCAAGCTGTTCTGTGGGAAGAATCATTATTTCCCTTTTTGCTTCTCCCCTTTTGGCGACTTAACACTATCCATGTATTGAATCGTAAACATCCCCAAGCGGGGCTGCTTGGTCAAACTACATTCTACATACATTCGTTCCTTCATGCAGATGCCAGAGGATTGCCATCTTTTCTTGACTGCCCGTTCATTAATTTTCCGGGGTTAGGTTCTGTGCTGCTGGAACCTCAAGCTATGGGTTTATTGTTCATCTTTGTCGCAGAGAAAAGCTGCTCACGCAGGTATGTGCTTCCTAACAGCCTTTTAGCTTCAGGGATGAAGCTCGCTGACTGCAGCGCTCACAGAGCCATGAGTGTATCGTTGCACTGGAGGACTATCAGCTACATTTGGATGCTCACAGGTGCTTTGTCCGTGTCAGCTGCACGGATTGCTGAGCACTCCAAATTTTAAGTCTGCAAATCTGTGCGTGAAGAGCTCCCAGACAAGCACAATACGCAGTCTGGAACACGGCGGGGAGACGTGGTTTGTCAGGGCCTTATGTAGTAACGACTGCAGTAATCCGAGCCAGACAGCATCATAGGCCAAAGAGACGAGCAGAAAGCATTTTTGGACACATGGATCACACCTTTTCAGTTCAGAAGTTACTAAAGGTTCTGTGATTTGTTCCTGTGTGTGGTCACTTGTCCTCATCCCTGTAGCTGGAGGTTCGCACACCGAGATGCTTTGTTGTGTTGCTCACTTCGCCAATTTGAGTCCTGGAGCTCTGAGTATCTTTCCCTTTGCCTTACTTGTGGATTTTTGACACATGGACACTATCCACTCATTTCCACCGAACCCTTGGCTTACTCATCACACTTGATGACTTGTTCTTTTCACCGCACATCGCAGGCGCTAGATCTGTCGTCAAAGCAGTCAGTTTGTCCCAGGGCAGTTTCATTTCATTCACACATTTACACACCTACTCGAATATGCCTCTCCCTGTGGTTGTGTGTGCCGTGCCATTATTCAATACCTAGAAGTTCCTCAGTAATCGCTAAACGAGTCCTCTCCTCGGATGAAGATGGACAGCTGTGCAGTATCAGTCAAAGCGCTCTCATCCACAGCGCGTCAGTATGCAATGAAGTCTTCTCCCTTTCCATCAGCTGTCAGCTCACATCCCTGATCAGCAATGTTCTGCTTAAGCTTACATTTAAAAATGCTTACTTTTTGTCTGGACACTTCAACCATACAGCGCCTTACAAAGTCTCCCACACTAAAGGCCAGGCAGATTTAGCTATTTCTTCAGGCCACAATAAAATCTTTTATCGCAAGCTCACTTTGTACCTTCGGCTTTCAGTCGGTAGGTACTTGTCTTGGTGTTTCGTCTCATAGTTTCGTCATATGCTGTATTCTTTTACAACGAGGACGTCGGCCCCACAAACAAGGCAAACTGGTTCCCTGTTAATGCTGGTAAACTGATATTCTGCCTTTTGGTTTGGATTTATTTTGGGAGGATTATTTATAAAAGCAGCCTTCTCTACCGGCGGATGGATCGTATAATTGTCCTCACCAGACCATCCAGTCGGTAGTAGCAACCCACTGAAAACAACTCTGTTCCAACTCATCAAGGATCACTGACTTGTATCCCCCCCCCCCCTTGTTGTGTTATTCAGCACTGCAGCTGTAGAGAGAACTGCTCATCCAGTACCTGCATGTGTGGCCAGCTCAGCCTGCGATGCTGGTATGACAGTGTAAGTTCCCACACATGCACAAACATATTTTTTACTGTCACTTTGACTTTGTCCTCAATAATATACTACAGTTTTAAACACATTTTAGTGCAACTACCATATTTTCCGCACTATACGGCGCACCTTCAATGAATGATCTATTTTAGAACATTTTTCATAAACAGGGCGCACCGGATTATAAGGCGCATAAGATACTGCAGTCAAACGTTTGACGTCGGGGCAGGTGGATGGGGGGGGTGGGGGAGGTGGAGACGGTGCTTTCAGGGTCCGATCGATGCTGCGAGGTTCATAGCCCGATACCGCCATTACTAAAACGAAGAATGTTTACGAGAGAACGGATCCGACTGAAGAACTTTTGTCTGAAGTAATGCGTAAATATGACCACTTACACAAGCCGTCATTGGCGGACTATAAGGACGCGCGGATGGCCTCTGATTCATGAAGGGAGGTCTCCGCAAATGTCGGTTTGCCGGTCGAGGGGAACAAAGTAGCATGCGCCAGCCTTAAGAATAACTTATTATCCCCGTTAAGATGGTTCCGCTACTGTAGAGAAAAGGGCACCGTCTCTCGCTCTTTAATCTCATCAAGTGCTCGGCAAGAACGACCGCTTTGTTTCTCCGACGCGCCCTGAAACAAGCTCCATATCTCACGCACTTGAGCGCCCGCTCAGCATCTTGCCGTCGTAGACCGAGCTTTGGCATGTTTGGCAGAGCGCCTTGAGCCAGTATGGATCAACCGATTAACCAATTGATCCATATATAAGACGCTCCGGATTAAAAGGCACTGTCGTTTTAAGTGCGTATAAGGCTTTTAAGTGCGCCTTATAGTGCGGAAAATACGGTAGTTTCTTTTTTTGCAACTTGGCTGATTGGCAGTAATTCAATGTTTTTGGCTGGAAAGAGAACACAAACACCTGGTTCCGAGAAAGCCTACTCGGGTTCTGACTGTGAATGTGTGCATTTATCACTGATAGCAGTTTTTAACACTTCTCTTGGTGTGTGTGTGTGTGTGTGTGTGTGTGTGTGTGTGTGTGTGTGTGCGTGTGCGTGCGCGCGTAGGAGGGTCGACTGCCTCTGGACTTTTGTCAGAGGGAGCCACCGGTGCTGTTTGAGTGTAACCATGCCTGCTCCTGTTGGAGGACCTGCAGGAACCGAGTGGTCCAGAATGGACTGAGGTGACCTTTTCTTTTCTTCTAGATTTCTCCTGCAGCTCACTGCGCCAGTTCCCTTCCTTGCACATACATATTTGCTGCAGTACGGCCCACGGAATGAAAGCCTTCTGGTTTCCAGGGGGACATGTTTTATATGAAATAGCAGCAGCGCACTGTTTTAACTAGCGATGACCCGACTAAGCAAATATAGCTGCAGTGTGGCTGCTGGCCATTAAACACATTCTCCTATTTCCACTATCACAGCATGGATAACACTGACTTTTAGTTTAGTTCAGGACCCTGTTGACACTGAGGATGCTTTATTGATGAGAGTACCTGAACAGGCTGCTCCGTCACGTCAAATGGTAACACTTTCATGTTGGATGACTTTACAGAACATTGCTCTCTTCCCTACCTGTTTTAAACGGTTGAGTATTATTCAAATGGTCAGCATGTTTTGATCAGTTGCGAAAGCTAACATGCTCATTGTTTTGAGAGGTTTAAGGTTTTCTGATTAAAGACGGGCCAAGAAAATTAATTTGAGTGCAAAAGACCAGCTAATATCCACTAAAAGTACCGTTTCCTTTGCTGCATTCTTCGGTAGCTCACGATTGGTGTGATTAACCTTGTTGAACGCGTCACTTATTTTACTAATAAAGGTGTGATATACTCAACTGTCAAACTGCTCGTTTGCACGGTTAGTTTGTGTGCATCACCGTATTTGTTCACATTCGACAGTCACACAATTTGACAGGTACAAAATCTGCTATTAAATGGAGAAGCACTAATAAGCTCCAACATTAGTGTTGTTTAAAATGAATAGTTTCATGTTTTTCCAGTAAGGTGTCAGTCACTTTATATCACTCAGCATATATAGGTTAATTATTCTTTTTACAAAATAATGCATTAAAAAGAGAGTCATGAAGATCCACTATAACGATATTGATAAAGACCCAAAGAGCTAAGGGGTAGTGTGGATAGCATCCCGTACACAGCAACACAAAGCTTTGAGCACTCTAGTATAACACACAGGAGATGGCTGGCAGCTCTTTATTTCAGGCCAGAGGAAACGTGCAACTCTTTTGTTGAATAAGTCAATGTCAAAAACTTGTTGTTTTAATGTTTCTGTGCTGCTGAGAGAGATAACAGCCTTGTTGTTTGCTTTAGAGCCCGGCTGCAGCTCTTCAGGACACAGAAGATGGGCTGGGGAGTGAGGGCCATGCAGGAGATCCCTCAGGGAACATTCATTTGCGAGTGAGGAGAGACTCTCATAAGATAAACCACTGAATTCTGTGTTTTACAGCATGAAATCTTGAATTGAAGCTCCTTCCACTCTGATGCTTCCACAGGTACGTCGGGGAGATCATCACTGATGCAGAGGCCAATAAAAGGGAGAACGACTCTTTCCTCTTCACCCTCGACAATAAGGTTTTTCAGCTGGTTTACATGAATTTCTGTTTTCACAGTTTTAGTTTGTAGAATCAGACTAGTAGAAATGGAAATGCCGGAACTAGTAATCTAACGTAACGTGTTGGTTAGGCATTAAGTGGAGATTCAGTTTAATTTAGCCTCTTAGTAGCCAACCAAATCCTATGATGGTGTAATGCCAGTGCTGTAGGCCAGTGCGATTCTTAGTCCATCCATCCATCGGCATTCACACACATTCACACCCCTACGGGAAATTTAGAGTTACCAATGAACCTGATCCCCAGTGCATGTCTTTGGACTGCGGGAGGAAGCCGTAGAACCACACAGACACGGGGAGAACATGCAGAAGAAAGGCCACACAGAAAGGCCACTGGGCGGAGTCGAACCCAGGACCTTCTTGCTGTGAGGCGACAGGGCTAACCACCACGCCACCGTGCCGCCCGCGATTCTTAGTATGTTCCACGTGTCAACTATTCTTAATCAAATCACAAACGCCTTGTGTGTAAATATGTGCTGTCATATCAGACACACTGAGCTTATATTTGGTCATCCGTACACTACTCAGCCTGTCCTCAGCCAGCAGCCAACCTCACGGCTTTACTTAGGGACGTGTTCTTCTCATGACAGCGGGTCTGACTGCTATATTTGTTCTTTTAAAGTATCTTTAAGTAAGAGCTTTTTCATTTATTTAATTTGGAAAAATTAGTCTACATGCAATAATTAGAAGTGTGATTCTCAAAGAATGCTGGGGTCTCCATGTTTTCATGGTCCTGATAACTGCAGTCTACTTAGCTTACATTCTGTTCGTTTTACTCAGCAGTGGAAATGGAAGTGGAAGAATGAGTCGGTTTGTCTCAATTTATAAAATACGTAAGGACACATGTTTTCTGTAAGGCATGTGTAAAAAGGATTTATCAAACGTACAGTATATATTTTTTAAATGATGCTCTACCTATTCATGATAATATACATACCTGAAAACTTGTTGCGTTATGGCGAAATTTGCCGTTTTGAAATCAAAATAAGTGAATTGTGTAGATCTGAAATGGACAAGGAGGAAAGGTGATGCAATAAAACATCTTTGATGTGACGGGATGAGCCTTAGCCATTCAGCGTTGAGATCTCTACCCCATATTCAACTTTTCATCTTTTCACTCCAATGTGAAGTTACCACCGGCACTGGATTATTATTATTATGATTATTATTATTACTGTGACTCTTTGTGTTCGCCGCCTTTAACAGGTTGGAGACGTTCATTGCATTGATGCGAGACTCTTTGGCAATGTTGGTCGTTTCATCAACCATCTGTGTGAGCCCAACCTGTTGGCTGTGAGGGTGTTCACCATGCACCAGGATCTCCGCTTCCCCAGAATAGCCTTCTTCTCCAGCAGGCCTATCAAAGCTGGAGACCAGATAGGGTGAGTGGCGGAGAAACAACTGTTTTCACTGATGGCGAAAAAGAGGTTAAGTGAATAGTTCAAATAAAGATAATATGATAGACAGGTGCTTTTTCCTCACTAGGTTTGACTACGGCGATCACTACTGGAGGGTGAAGAGCAAGTACTTCAGCTGCCAGTGTGGGTCTCTCAAGTGTCTCCAATCTGCCGGAAGCAGATAGGAATTCATCAATCCTTCTCTCTGCCTGGACACATTCAGAAACACACTCTTCTGATTTAGATGCCACGCAACAGTGATGCTTTGATTATATGCATACCAATGGGATTTTCTTGACTTCCCATTTGTAAAGCAACTTTTACAAAATCTGTCATCTCACAGCACAGGATCTAACTTATCCATAGACCCAATGAGGTCACGTTTTATATGAAGGACCCTGTAGCTCAGTGGTCCCCAACCACCGTGTTGGTACTGGGCCGCACCACATAAAAAATAACTTTTTATTTTTTGTCATTTTACTTTTTTTCTGAAAAATGTTTTATTTTAAAATTGACCAGAGTCTCTCCTAGTTATGTGCGCTCGTCCGTCTTGATACATTTCCTAAGCGTCACCAAGCATTTTATTTTTGTTGTCCACTCCTCTCTGTGCACGGAAGTTCCGCCCCCTGTTGGCCGTTTTTTGTTGTTGTTTATCTGCCACGCCTTCAAGATCGGTCTGCGAAATGTTGTCGAACATAAAACCGGTTCGTAAAGCAAAAAGAGTTGGGGTCCGCTTATGTAGCTCTTCCTTTCAATAATGCAGATTGAAATATTTGGGGATATTCAAAGTGAAGTAAAGTGAAGAAGTTGATGAACACACATTTTACTACATTTCTAATTAGCAATTAAACCCATTGGAAAGCTGTTTTCATCTTATTTGTTTTGTATTAATTAGTTTTATTATTGTTATTTGCTCGCTCCAGAAGGACTTTTGCTCGGGAATGTTGAATGATTTGCGCTCTCGCATTTCATAATCTCCACCTGTAGTGGGGGAAAAAAACTGAGATTAGACAAATGTAGATTTAGATATTTTTTTAGGTTTTCCAGGAATAATAATTACATGAAATAAATAAAGTATAATAAAATAAAACTGACAAATCCAAATGCAGCTCCATCATTTTTTGCAACATTATAGTGACACAAGGGAAACCTTCCAGCTCCTTTCATGTCAATGTGTTCATAGATCTTAGCTCAAACATATGCCTGTTTAATCATCAAGGTCATCTTCATCAACCATACAGTCCTCATGGAACTGTAACTAAATGATCATGTTAGAATGACATTTTTGCTTTCAGTCCTACAGCGTTTTTAAATAAAATAATTTCATTGCCTTTTTACAATTGTTTTTCGTATCATACCAGAGGATGTGTAGTCTGTTAGTTTCTAAAGTATTTCCATTATTGTTGAGCTACATGTTTTTAACCTTCGCAATAATACATATAACATGACCATGTCAAACGGTTCCTCGTAAGGTATAATTGTATTTTAATTAGTCAGCTTGATGCCTAAATTGATTTATTTTTCGTCAATAAATACTTTTTAAAAATGTGAACGTCTTTGTTTTACTTTGAAAAGTTTGGCCGGAAATAGTTTACACTGGTTTTCCATAGATATGCCCATAATGATCGTTAAGTCAACATACGATAGTCGACGGTTCTCGTGCGCTTATTTGAACGTTATCCCGGAAGTCATCTTTGGTCTGGGTAACTTGACCGCGGTGTGGCTCGCTCTCCTCCCTGTTGCCGTGGAAACAGGGCTGGTCCAGGTGCAGCCACTAACTGGCGTCCTCCCGGTCACGTGGGGTCTAGACAAGGAGCAGTGGAAAAAGTAGTGCGTCTGCGTTCTCATCAACGGCGAGTTGACGGGAGCAGGCTGCGTAGTTCTCCGGTAACCCTACAAACAAAGTAACGGTGGCCTGTCGTCGGCCCGGTCATCGACTCAGCGTTCATCTGGAATAGAAAGTATCTAGAACAAATAAATGTTCGAAGAACATGTAATGTGGACTCGTCACGCTGAGGCTTCGCGGTATTTCCTCCGCTGTAGTCTTTACCGGGAAGCTGTGGACTTGGACCGCAGACCAGCACATCCCCGCGGCCGCCAGTCGGAATATGCTGCATCATGGAATGCGCTCGTCTAAACTTTGAGTTTCCGGTCGGGCTCGGTGGCAGCACGGGGAGCTGCGGAGACTAAGGGGGGAAAGAGGTAAAGCTTCTCCCGCTGCGTGTACCTGTGGATGTTGGACGCCTGTGTCAGTGAACGGCGCGCGCACCTCCAGGACCTACAGGCGCTGGCTGTGCTGGGATGCTCGCTTCCCTTCCAGCTGTGGTTTCTCCAGTAAGACCGGTGCTCTCCCGGGATGGCCCGCTTTGAAGACGAACTCTCCGGCCGCTATGGAGGCAGCTGTCCCATGGGACCGAGCAGAGGGGCCGGCCGGCCCCCGGGGGTCCAGAGGGTGTACAAGCAGACGATGGCGCAGAGAGCCAGGACCATGGCCATTTACAACCCCATTCCGGTCAAACAGAACTGCCTCACCGTTAACCGCTCTCTGTTCGCCTTCAGTGAGGATAACATCATACGGAAATATGCCAAAAGGATCACAGAGTGGCCATATCCTTAACGTGTATCCCTGCCTCCCCGTCATTTAGGCACCTGTGTTCATCTTTACACCGAGCTACGTGACACAATATGCCAGTTTAAGGGAGCACACATCTTACATGTGTCTAGGTAATGCTGAACCAACGGATAGAGCCTTTAATTAGGCATGACGACGACAAAAGTGTATGTCACTAAAATGTCAAACTTGGACAGTCTTTTTGAGTGTTGTTTCCTTCCTTCTAGAGGGTGTTGTAGCAGCTGATGCCTACATCAAGAGCTCCTTTGTCAAATCTCTTTAGAATGCTGCCAAGTTTAAACCAAGCTTTCTTGTAGTTATTTTCTATTTTTTAAACCAACTGATGGCAGGAAACCTCTGGGCAGAACAGGCGTTCCTCCTTCCTTCCTCGTGCTAGATCCATGATCACACTCCTAGTTTACACTACTATGTAGGTGTACTTGATAGACCATTGTGTGTGATATATGGCCCCGGTAGTCTGCCGATGGTGCTGAACCCCCAGCAGGCTGACCTCAGCATCAAGGCGTTGGCAGACTGCATGTCACAGCTGCGAAATGCTGCAGGATGCACATTTCAAACAAAGGTCTTTTCTCAGTAGTATCAATTTGTATATTGAGTTGTGTAATCTGTATTATGCTTTGATGGTGCAGTACATTATCAAGTCTTTTATCCTGATGCAGAGCATTTGGGGATCAATCAAGGCCGGAGTCTCAGTAGCTTAAGTTTTCAGCCAGTTCCTCTCATGTTCCTGGCCCCCCCCCAAAACCGTTCTAAAGATGGTGGGAATACCTACTAATCTTCTCTAATCAATGTATCATGTCTTGAAATAATAATAACAGAAATGTTTTTTATCTTACAAGAAAAGTGAAGATGTTACTGGATCTATGTAGGACTGCATTGGCGTATAGATACAACTAGCTGGCCAACTAGAAGTGGCCATTGAGACAAAAAGGACGTGCCATTTTTACACTTTGCATTCAGAGGAGCCTTAGTTCCTAGTGAAAGCTGTTTTTATAACGTGGCTTTTCATGGGTGCTTTAGAAATGCCCTTGTGATATCGTCATGTTTATTCTGTATTTAATGATCAGCATTAATATATCAAACACCTCTCTCTGTGTGTGTTGATATCCCAGCGGCTCCTCGTTTTGTTCAAAATAAGGTCTTCTCCTTGATTTGGTGATTAGTATGTATTGGTTAAATTTTAGGGTTTGTGGTGTCATGTCTAGCAACTTGTCCTATTGTCCTTAACACTTCCACTCCATTTGAGTACATGATCCTGGCCACCATAATAGCAAACTGCATTGTGCTGGCCCTGGAGCAACACCTCCCGGCCTTGGACCAAACACCAATGTCAGAGCGTTTGGTAAGTAGTCACAAACTGCTTTCCATTTTCTACTGTAAAGGTCTTCAAGTGATGCTGAGCACCCCACCCACCACCTCCCCACCACCCCTTCTCTGTTCCTGAATTACAAACTGTTGGGACCAAAATACATTGAGGGCTTTCACAAATCCCTTAACATTTTGTTTCAATACAAAGTAGGGTTATAACCTACCTAGAGAGGCATTAGGACACCTCAAAGTAATTTGTGTTCACAGAAGGAAACTAAACATTCATGACTTTAGCATCCTCCATAGTTGTCTCTGAGAGTTCTTCAGGGCGTTGAAGCATCAGATAGAGCATTGGAGATGCTCATGGGACGTAGAATGTGATGGACCGGAAGCCGCTGAAGAAAATCCTGTGGACCTTCATTTAATTGGAGTGCAGTGAAATCGACTGGCCAAGATCAGATTTCATTGACTCAGCCAGATGGAAGGGTGTAATTTCATGAAACCTCTTCACTCTACTCTGCTTTGTCTTTACAGGACGACACAGAGCCCTACTTTATTGGAATATTTTGTTTTGAGGCTGGCATCAAGATCATCGCACTGGGCTTTGCCTTTCACAAAGGCTCATACCTGCGTAATGGCTGGAATGTAATGGATTTTGTGGTGGTCCTAACAGGGTAAGTAGCACTGGCCTAATGGCTCCCATAGCTGCTAACTGACAGAGCGGATGGGCAGCAGCCATTAATGAGCAGGGAGGAAGGGGGCTCTGATGTGTGTCTGTGTGTTGCATTTTTAATGATTAGTGGAGATGACTGCATGTTTTCTTACAGTTTGAACGAAAAACAAATACTGCAACCCCAAATTATGACAAATATATTTTGAACCGCACCACCCATTTATTAATGACCATGCACACCATGCACACTTTCCAGCAATAGTTCTGCCTTCAGTGAAAGCCATTATGTAATTTCCTGTAGTGATGGTAGTAATCACATCTGAAAGTGCCTCAGTTTGCAGCTGATATATATGTTATTATAACGCTGGAGGATTTAAATACACAACATACACATGCAAAAATATGAACCAGATACAAAGTATTAGAGTTGTATTTTATTGTATATCATTCTCCAATTACATCAACTTGCATCATTACCCACTCATATAAAGGTCCACCATGAGGGGGAAATGGATGAGCTCACTGTGGACATCTACCCTTTATCAGCGGTTCCCATCCGGTTTATGCTGGCTGCTAGATTCATTCAAGTACAGTAAAAAGATTTTCCATACATTTAGGTTGAGTTTGCATTAGTACTTTTACCAGTCAAAATGGCTAAACCTGGATGATTTAACTATTTAGCAATATCTTTTATCTATTACTACTTGTATCCATAAGTTGAATATTTACTTTATTGTTGAAATTGCTTGTCCCAACTACAAAAGAGACCCCCTTAAAATGTCACGTCCTACAGTCAGTGCAATACATTATTTCTTGGTTGGATCATAAACCAGCCGTTTTCTGATGGACCTCCACTTTTCGTTGAGCAATATCTTTTTTTCACTGTTTTTTCTTCATTTTCAGTTTTATCAAAAGTTTTTCTCTTTTGTATCTATCTGCCCTCCGGATTTTTCTACACCTGCTATGTGCCGCCATATCCTTGCCTTGCACTGAGCAGGTCTCCTCGCGTTTTACCAAAACCACCTGTCACGTAGGTTGCTTAGCGAGCGTACGGTGACCGAGAAGGGGAAACGATACGTGAACGATACGTTATCAGGTCAATGCGTGGAGCTTCAGAAGCCTGCAATGAGTTTTTATTATTTTATAAAATGGATCAAACAGCTTCACATGGATATCTCTCCTGGCGGACCGTCTGCTGTACAGCCTTGAGCTCTTAACAGGTCTTCATCTCCAAGCACATCTTGAACCACCGGGAATTAACTCTCTGAAGGGGATTCAGCCTGCTAGCTAAGCTAAGGAAGTGCGCACATCGTCGTGGTGTGTAGTCTGTGCACCAGAACCATTGCTGCCACTAACGTAACAGAGCGTTCTGGGCTTGTGGAGGATGAGCTCATGACACATTAATAACTGCCGTCACCCCTTAACCACCCTTTTGCCGTTATGGCAACACTGAAGGAACATACTACCTCAAACGCAAAACACTAAACACAAGACAGTCGGTTACACCACAATACGAAAAAAAAGATATATATATATATTTTTTAAAGATATATGAAAGAGAGAGAGAGATATATATATAGGGTCACAGGGGTAGAGAGGGTGCGCGGGGAACTGCTAGGTTGGTAGCAATAGTGAGAAGGACTGCTTTACCCGCCATAGCCGAATTCAACCTTTATTCATGTCAAGCCCTGAACCTCATGTAACTTCAGTGATTTTATAAACTATGATATGATGTTATATATTATAATTTAACATTTCTATATGTAGATATTTGAGTGAATTATATTAACGTTACTTACATTAAAAAGTGAATTAAATCCTTGTTGCACTGCATTGAGACAGCTACAGAGAGAGCTCCTCTCTAATCAGTCTCCTCTGATAAGAAAAACTAGAGCGAGTGAATAAATATTTGATTGGGTTTCACTGTGGAGGAATTAGGCCTGTTCCAGCATGCATTTGATCCCCTTCGATAAGCGCTGTGTACAGTATGACTACAGGATACTTTACCGGAGGCATATATAGGCTGGATTTGAATTGTCAAATTTACTTAGGAAGGTTCTTAACGAAGTGAAAGTTGCCGCAATGATAACAGCTTTTCGAATTTCCTAAATCAGAGGTCACTAACTGGTAGTGATGTGTCGTTCGTGAACGATTCGTTCATTTTGAACAAATCCTTACAAGGACTCAAGAGTAACGAGTCCTCTCAAAAAAAGATTAGTTAATTTTTTCGTGGCCACGCATCGGGACTTGCATAGACTCAGCCAAGGAAACAGAAATGATTCGTTGAATGCAGGTCACGTGGAAAATTATCCTTCTGCCAACCAAGTGGTACCAGTGCTGAGCCTATGCAGGTCACGTGAAAAATGAACGATGAACATATCATTGACCCGAAGGCTCGGTTGGCAGATGAACAAAACATTGACCCGAAGATCTGCCGGATACAGATCTTTAGATAATTTTTCACGTGACCTGCATAGGCTCAGCACTGATCCACGCTAGCATCGGGCTAACGTCCTCATCCATCCACGCTAGCATCAGGCTAATGATCCCATCCATCCACGCTAGCATCAGGCTAACGTCCCCATCCATCCACGCTAGCATCAAGCGAACCCTTACATACAACACATAATAATAACCTTGCTACCAGACTGTGGACTTCACCGCTTTATAACAAAGCTTTTTTGCAACGTAAATGGATCAGTACCGCCGCTGCCCATTTTCAACACAGGGGACCGGCTATGCCCCGGAGAGGTCAGTGTTGTGTGGACGGGATGGCAGCGGTGATATTATCCCAGTTTGCATGTTTATTGGCGGACCTTTTATTGCAAGGTTCTGGCCGTCACTGGTAACCAGAGCGAGCTCATCGTCAGTGGGATCAACGTGACCCAGGTCCGGCGGTACGAGCGGAGTACTCACATGTCTGGACGGCCGGCTACAGGCTGAACTTCACGTGACCTGTATAGGCTCAGCAGCACTGGTAGCGATAAGCAGTCAGCATTCTTTCTCTGCGCTAGCAGGTTGCCATCGCCGTCTGAGCCGTCGTGTTTTCAAACGAAAATACCATCCAACCGTATTGGTTTAAAGACGATTTTTTGAGCTCAATTCCATTGTATATCTTATTTTTTTCTTCTTCGGACGATCATCCAGCTTTTACACTGACGTTCTTTTTGGAAAAGGTGAGCTGTCTCGATGGGTTTCTAGCCCGGCTAGCATTCAGCTAACTTAGCTAAGCCACCGGTTTGGTAGGAAGTTTGTCTTCGTTACGATTTTATATTGGATTCCAAGCGGTGTACTACCAACGTGAATTATCACGTTCGGTTCTAACGGACCTCGTTTGTGTTATGATGTATAGATTTACCGGTTTTACCTTTAGGAAAACCTCTATTGTTATGAACAATGAACAAATTATTGATCTGCTCGGCTAGTAGATCAATGATTCGTCTTCGATTCGGCCTTCTGATACGGATCTTAGGATCATTTTTCACGTGACCTGCGCTCAGAAGCGGAAACAGAAAGGATTTGTTTACCTCGTTCACTTTCGCGTGGCTAGGTTTAGTAAGACGTGAATGATATTCCTTCACAAGTAAGAATTACAGGTTTACAGATTTTAATGCAGGAATTCTTACCACCCCTCCCCCCGAAATGAACGAATGACTCGAAAAAAGATTTGTTCATTATACTGAGCGAGATTCAAAGAACCGAGTCGGTCAAAGGATGAGACGGAGAAAGCGAGAGAAAGGGACGAACGAGAAAAATGAGAAAAAAATGGGACAGCGAAAGTAGAGCATTAATCCATAATGGATGGACTGGTTTCTGCTCATACTTCTCACTGCAACACTAAGTGTTTCATACGCTCAGAACCCATTGAAACGTCATCATGAGGCTCAATGAGCTCCTCCATAATTTGCTGAGACTGTCAAGTCCAAATGTGAAGCAGAAAGGAGGAAATTCAAGATTTTCTTCCCGTTAGTTTTTTTTTTGCTGAATTGAAGCGCTTTATTTGAACATGCAGAATTTTTCACATTTTATTTATTTTTTTAAATGCAGCACTACTTTTATTTAGTTAATCAAGAGAACATTATTTATATTTGCAGTCACGCATATATGTTCAGTTCTTTGTTACATGACAATAAATATTTTCAAGAGTTTTAGAATCATACTGATTTGATTTGTAGGTCGTGTATTGAATACATGCAAATGTTGATACAACTCTCTTCCTCTAAGTAGTCACACTATGATCTTCCGGACCTTTGCTTCTAGAAATTTTCTTCAACTGGACCTCTTCACATTTTAGTTGAAGACCCCTGCTCTAAATGCTAAGGAAAGGAGCTTCAACGCTTCCCTTCTTAGCTCCTTTAGCATAGGTTCCACTGGACCATCCTTTACAAAACGAAAGGAGATAAATCTGTCCCACAATTCTGTGCGGCAATAATTAAATAGTGACGTAGCATTCTGCAGTTCACAAGAAATAACGATCATGACCGAGAAACGCAAGTAGATCATGTAAGTAACCGTTAGCATAACTCATACATATAACAATCTTGTTAATAAAGTAATACTTTGAACCTGGTTGTTTTATGCCGTCTCTATAACTCACCACTGTAACATCACATGGAGGAAGGCATCTGGATGATGGGCGACTGTGGGTGAGTGGGCAGCACGGTCGTCCTCCAATCAGAGGGTTGGCGGTTCGATCCGAGGCCTGGCTAACCCGCATGTCGATGTGTCCTTGGGCAAGACACTTAACCCAACATTGCTCCTGTAGCTGCGACTACAGTGTGTGAATGGTAGTTATTGATGGGCAGGTGGCACTGTTTGTGGTAGCTCCTGTCATCAGTGTATAAATGGGTGAATGATGTCATGAAGTGTTATAGCGCTTTGAGTGGTCGGAAGACTAGAAAGTAGTTTTGCTGTTGCAGACTGATGTTAATAACATACGTCTCCTGTCACATCAGAACTATGTAGCTTAGTGAAAGTGGAGTCGGATTCCCTAAACAACAC